CATGTAATATTTGTGGGCAAAGCCATTGAGTTTCATCTCCTTATGTGAGAACTAGGTGTATTTTTTTCTTTTGTAGAGAAATAAATGGGCGAAACTAAAAAAAAAAAAAAAAAAAAGCCCAAACTGGTTTTTCTGGGAAAGGACAGGAAAACAAATGGTTCAGAGTGTGCTGCCACCCCAGAAGGGCCCTGCTCCCAAGAAATGCTTTCTTTTGTGGGTGAACTGTCCTGGATCTGTAAAGCCCCTGGGGCCACCCCCCCCCAACGCAAGCCAGGATGGAATTTTCCCAGCTGCCTGTGCAGCCTCAAGCGCTCCAAGTCTCTCTCCCCCGACACAGAACACAACCTGGTTCCAACAGCTGAGATCCCAAGTTGGTTTCCCTATTCCATACGTAGGATGTTTCTTAAACATGTTTTACATGGAGCTTGAAATTGGACATGAACAACAAATCGCACGTAACAGCAGAGGGCGCCCTTGCTCTGCTATGCGACTGACACAGAGCGGGAGAACACATTCTGGACTCGTGTTTGTTTTTCTCGGGTTACTCGGGGTTGACAGTGGGCACACATTCCAGTCGGAGATGACACACCCATTGCTGTTTCACTGCCTCCCCCCCCTTTCCCCTCTGTCCTTTTTTTCTCTCAGCCGGGTGATCTCATACTTGGAGGAACACCGAATAAAGAAGGAGTGGTCGCCGGCAGCAGCCTTGATCCAGAAATACCTGAACAGAGGAATACCTGCCTTCTACACAGCTTCAAGTGCTCCAGAGTGAGCTGGCGGTGCCGCTTCGCTACGGAGGCCTATGTGTCCTGTTGAGATGTGTGTTGGGACACCCCCCCCCCCCCCAGTTTATATCACCCTACAGAAAAGCAGACAGAAAGCTCTAACATGCAGAGCATTTGTCCCCTTGGCCTCCACCCCTCGTTCTCTAATCTCCTTGGGGGAGGCGGACACCATTCTTTCTGTCTGCGTGACACCATGAATGTCGCACAGCAGGCGTTGGGGTCAGAATGAGGGACACTTGAGAAGCATCTGTTTGGAGAACTGCAGGTGAATGTCACTGATATCGTGTCCCCCAAGAGAATAGCTGTCCCCGCAACAGCTGGGAAATGCAGAGAGTCAGCATCTGGCTAGAAGGAAAATGGGAGAAATCATTACGGAAAATGGAAGATTCAAAGTATTTTCCTAGGAGACCTTTACAAAGAAATGAGTTTGGAAATATTTATTCTTTGGATCAAACAGTTTTCTATATTTATTCTAGGGGAAATGCTCACTTCCTTTATCTGATTCTCTTTATTTTGGGGAGCTATTGCCATTTCCATCTGGACTTCTTAGTCTGTGCCACTCCCCCTACCAAAAGGGTGACAGGATTCCCAAATAAGGCAACAGTTTCCTGCCTGTTGCCACATGTGATCATGGCTGGGCTATGTGTCAGGGAATCAAGGAAACAGAAAAACCACAACCTTTTTTGGAAAGTCTCCTGCCTTTCTGCATGGTGAAATGTGAGAATTGCTTTAGTGACTCATACCCTCAAGGTTGAGGGGTGCGTGAATTTTGGCTTGCATGCCTTTCAACTTACAGGTTTTATGGTGAAAGTTGGCAATCAGAGCAGGGTGTGTATTTACCACCATTCACTTAGAACACTTTCTTTCATTTGAAGAGATAACACGTGAGGAATGTCTTCTGTGTCAGCATTCTTTCCTTCCCCGCTGTTCTCTTTCTTAATAGTGACATCGTCTGCTAACCAAAGATGCATGCCCCCGAATGGTGGTGATGTCCTAAGTGGGAGTCATCATCTATTCAATCTCTTACTTAAAAATATTTTCCTAAAAATGCTAGTCCTTCCTAAAAACACTAGGCCTTCCTAAAAACTCTTGCCCTAAACTTGTTCAGATGTTGGATGGCAATTGACAAGTTGATCAGGGACTTGGTAGGAATTGTGGGGCAGCTCAGACTATCTAGGAGGCACGTGTGTACTGTAGAGCCTATAAAGTACAAGCAGACAGAAGTGCTATGCAAAGGACAATCTTGTAACATAGTAGGTCTTTTTTGGAAACCAGAGACAAAAGGAATTCTGGGCTCTGGTCAGATTGTTAAATGCATGCTAGGCTTGCACCAAACTTCTTCAACTCCTTCTAAAACCATAACTTTAACTTTGCCACCAAGTACCAATTACTCATTAGATGATACAACGTGGTGATCAAGGCACCACTCTTTTTCTCCCTCTGTGCCTCTCCAGCATTTTTGCTTCTGGCTAGATCATAATCTGTTTCAAGGAAAGACCAGATTTATATTTCTTTGATTTTTATTCAGTGTCTAGCACCTACAGATGATAGGTGCCCAACTAACAAGAGTTGAAAGAATATAATTAGAAGAACTACCCCTCACTCTGGGTAAAGGGAAAATAAATCTCTACTTTTTCCTTTTCTTTACAGAAATGAGAAGGGGTGGGACCCCAGCCTAAGGATTTGTTCTCGTCCAAGATATATGAAACTATCCAATTATATGTCAACTATACTTCAATTAAAAAAATTTTTTTTTAATTTTTATTTATTTATTTAATTGACACAGAGAGAGAGAGACAGCAAGAGAGGGAACACAAGGAGGGGGAGTGGGGGAGGGAGAAGCAGGCTTCCCGCCGAGCAAAGAGCCCGATGGGGGGGCTCGATCCCAGGATGCTGGGATCATGACCTGAGCCAAAGGCAGATGCTTAACCAACTGTGCCACCCAGGCGCCCCTCAATTAAAATTTTTTTTTAAAGATTTTATTTATTTATTTGAGACAGAGAGAATGAGAGACAGAGAGCATGAGAGGGAGGAGGGTCAGAGGGAGAAGCAGACTCCCTGCCGAGCAGGGAGCCCGATGCGGGACTCGATCCCGGGACTCCAGGATCATGACCTGAGCCGAAGGCAGTCACTTAACCAACTGAGCCACCCAGGCGCCCCAATTAAAAATTTTTTTAAGAAAAAGGAAGAACATCCAGTTCGAGTCTTGAGTCAAATCTTTTTATAGCTAAACATAAAAATTAAGGGTAAATGGCTCTGCTGTTTGAAGTGGTACTATTATAGATTCTGTTTCCTAGGTACTAAGATGTCCTTAGTAATGGTCTAGAAGCAGGAAGATGAGCAAAGAGAAGTGGCCTTCTGTACAAAAATAATATAAGTTGCCATTTTTATTGTGGATGGGAGAAGCAAGGCAGATTCACTGTCCGTTAGTGGATTAAGACTCTCCAGTCCCTGAGAATTACTGCTTATCCTTTAGAAGGGTGTGTGAGTGTGTGTGCAGGAAAAATGAGCGAGTCTCTTTACTCAGTGGCAGGGACCTCAAAGAGTTTTCAGAGTGGTCCAGACTGTGGCTTCTCCATTCTGAATTTTTCTGGAAATTACTATGTCCTGAGGGTTGCCATGGTGGAGAAAGGACCAGGGTGAGCATAACTATTGTCAAAGAGCATTTCCTAAACAGAATGGAAATGTTAAGAATGGGCTCTGTCTTGAAGAGAGAGAAGCGAGGTTGAAATGTTGGCTTGTAGTAACAACAACCCCTAACCTTTATTAAGGGCTTACCCTGTGCTAAGCTCTGTGTTAAGTACTCTATACTTATTTCTGTCTGCCACTACCTTATGAGGAAGGTACTATTATTACCCTGGATTTACAGATGGGGAAACTGAGGCACCGAGCGTGTAAGTAATTTGCCCAAGGTCACATAGGAATGGGCGAGCCTTGATTTGGATTAGGCCATTCTAGTGGCACCAGAACACACACATATAGCTGCTGTGCTGCTTGCCTCTTGCATACTCAGGGGTATGTAAGGTAAAAGTGTGACTGTATTCCTTTATAGCATTATTAAACTCTGGGAACAGTGTGATATAGAATCCCAGTTTAAGCTATTTCCACATTGTCATTTTTCTAGTGTCCAGTGAGGGCTGACAGTACACACACAGCCGTGTGTTAATGTTGTGAGAGACTTTGGATAGTGCAGGGCAGGAGAGCTTGGCTCTTTCCCTGATGCCCTTGTAATGACAGAAAATGCTCTTTGATTCTTGGTGGTAAAACCAAGTGATGGCAGAGCTAGGAGTGGGGTGGGAAAATGGCTGTGATGTGGATGGACACAGGAGTTGCGGTGCTTTCCACCAGAGGGAGGGGACATGGGAAAGGGGGAGGTGCATACAAATATTCATCCCAGTGACAGCTACCAAACCTCTAATGCCTGAGCAAGGACCATGGGAGGAAACTGGACTTCTTGTTGAAGCAAGAACAATATGGTTTCCTCATCTGAAACATGGATAGACAGACAGACAGTGAGAGATGAAAGCAAAAAGTGGTATTAAAACTCCCTAACCGGCTCAATAGTCCAAGATGGCGGATGATTAGGAAACCTTAGTTTTGTCTGGTCCCAGGAATTCAGCTACATAGCTATCAAATCATTCTGAACACCTGTGAACTCAACTGGAGATCTAAGAAAAGAAGAGCTGCAACCCTACAAAGAGAAAAGCGACCACTTTCTGCAAGGAAGGACGTGCGGAGAAGTGAATCCCAGATGATATATGGGAAGATACAACGTGGGGGGAGGGAGCCCCCATCAGCCGGCCCTGGAAAGTGACAGAGCAGCGGAGCACAAAATCAGAACTTTCAGAAGTCAGCTCTGGCGAGGGATGTCCCTGCCTGAAAGGCGCTCAGGTGGCAAAGCGGGGTGGAATTCTAGGTGGGACAGTGTGGTCCCAGGATCCTTGGGGTCACAGAAAGATTGGGGGTGCCTGAGTGCGGCTGAGTTCCCAGGCATTGGAACAGGGAAGCCGGCTGTAATCAGCAAGCCCAGGAGCGGACTCTCAGCTCGGGGTGGCCATAAAGTGCGAACCATGGCTCAGTCAGGTGACTGTGCTCTGAGCAGGGGCACAGCAAACGGCAGAACCAGGGAGACCCCACTTCCTCCCCCTGGATGAGCAGCCTGAGTGTGCACCACAGGAGTCGGCAGGGTTTGGAGACTTGAAACGGGTCTCCTACCTGAGATACAAATGCTGGGTCACAGGCCGGGTGAGCACGGAGTGCAGATGGAGACCAGGGAGACAGGAGTGCTTGACTGCTTTTCTCTGAGGTCACACTGAGGAGTGAGGCCCCAAGCCTTCAGCTCCAGGGCGGGAGATTGGGAGGCCACCATGTTCATTCTCATCCTCTAAAGCTGCGCCTTCAGGGAACAAAAGCCACATAGAGCAATCAGGAGCAGATTACATAGCCTGGCCCCCTGGCAAGGGCGGTGCAATTCCACCCGGGGCAAATATACTTGAGAATCAACGCAAAAGGCCCTTCCCCCAGAAGATCAGCAAGAACATCCAGCCTAGACCAAGTTTACCCATCACTGAGAAATACAAAACTCCAGCGCTAGGGGAATACAGCACATAGAATCCATGGCTTTTTTCCTATGTTTCTTTAGTCTTTCAATTTTATTTTTTTTCTCTTTCCTTTTTCAACCAATCTCTTATTTTATCAACTTTTTTTTAATATTTTTTAATTTTCATTTTTACAGTAACATTCTATACTTTCATTGTATTTAATTTTATTTTTGTATATATATATATGTATATATATATATATAAGTTTTTCTTTCTTTACAATTTTGGGATGCAGTTTCTTCTAACAGACCAAAATATACCCAGAGACCTGGCAGGCCAGAAAGGACTGGCATGATATATTCAGGGTGCTAAAAGAGAAAAATATGCAGCCAAGAATACTTTATCCAGCTAGGATGTCATTCAAATGAGGAGAGATAAAAAGTGTCCAGGAGAAACATTATTCCTCCCTTTCACCTTGTGAATGTCCAAAAGAAAGGGGGGGAGAAAGGCATGAACAATTCCATTATTTAAAAAGGGAAAGGAGGAAAATATTTCTGGCATTTAAAAGATGCTGCTGTTGGGGCGCCTGGGTGGCTCAGTCGGTTAAGCGTCTGCCTTCGGCTCAGGTCATGATCTCAGGTCCTGGGATTGAGCCCCACATCAGGCTCTCCACTTAGCAGCGAGTCTGCTTCTCCTTCTCCCTCTGTGATCTCTCTTGCTCTCACTCTCTCTCAAATAAATAAAGAAAATCTTTTTTTTTTTTTTTAAAGATGCTGCTGTTAAGACATGAACAGACATTTCTGCAGAGAAGACATCCAAACGGCCAACAGACACATGAAAAAGTGCTCAACATCACTCAGCATCAGGGAAATACAAATCAAAACCACAATCAGATACCACCTCACACAGGTCACGATGGCTAAAATGAACAAGTCAGGAAACGACAGATGTTGGAGAGGATGCAGAGAAAGGGGAACCCTCTTACACTGTTGGTGGGAATGCAAGCTGGTGCAGCCACTCTGGAAAACAGTATGGAGGTTCCTCAAAAAGTTGAAAATAGAGCTACCCTACAATCCAGCAACTGCACTACTGGGTATTTACCCCAAAGATACAAATGTAGGGATCCAAAGGAGTGCCTGCACCCCAATGTTTGTAGCAGCAATGTCCACAATAGCCAAACTATGGAATGAGCCCAGATGGAAAGAGCCCAGATATCCATCGACAGATGATTGGATAAAGAAGATGTGGTATATACACAATGGAATACTATTCAGCCATCAGAAAAAAAAAAAAAATGAAATCTTGCCATTTGCAACGATGTGAATAGAACTAGAGGGTATTATGCTAATTGAAATAAGTCAACTAGAGAAAGACAATTATATGATCTCACTCATATGTGGAATTTAAGAAACAAAACACAGTACCATAGGGGAAGAGAGGAAAAAATAAAACAAGACAAAATCAGAGAGGGAGACAAACCATAAGAGACTCAATCATAGGAAACAAACGGAGGGTTGCTGGAGGGGAGGGAGGTGGGGGGATGGGGTAACTGGGTGATGGACATTAAGGAGGGCAAGTGATATAATGAGCACTGGGTATTAGATAAGACTGATGAATCACTGATCTCTACCTCTGAAACTAATAATACATTATATGTTAATTAATTGAATTTAAATTTAAAAAACCTTCCCTAACCAAGTAAGAGTGACTTGGCAGCTCCAGTTAACTTATTCTACTCAATTGGCAATTTCACTGTGTTGTGTAATTGCCAGAAAAGCAACAGACATGGGCCCTATGTAGTCCCCTACCTTATTCACAACATCTAGACAAGCATGTTTTTTAAATGTCTTCCTGCTTTAGGTATTGTAGTTTAGTGCTCTACCACATGGCTGTCTTAGTCTGATCAGGCTGCTGTAACAAAAACACAGCAAATGTATTTCTCACAGTTCTAGGGTCTGGGAAGGCCAAGATCAAGGCACTGGCAGATTTGGTGTCTGGTGAGGGCCCGCTTCCTGGTTCACAGACAGCCATCTTATTGTTGTGTCCTCATGTGGTAGAAGGAACGAAGGAACTCTCTGGGGTGTCTTTATAGGAACTAATCCCATCAGGAAGGCTCCACCCTCATGACCGAAGCACCTCCCAAAGGCCCCATGTCCTAATACCATCACCTTGCGGGGTAGGATTTCCACATGTGAATTTGGAGGGGACACACACATTCACTGTAGAGCCCGGGCACCAAAAGGTGGGAGGATACTGGCTGAGGTAGGTTGGCATGTGGGCTCACATGTGAAAACTAGACACTAGTGGATGATAGAAGAGTTGGGCATCTGTCCACACCCCTCGGGACTTGTACTTTCACAGTCCTCCCCATCTTGGTTTGGGTCTCCTCAGCAACACACCCTGAGGCATGGATCTGAGCACAGGTCATTTATTTGGTAAGCGGGCCCCAGGAAGCCCTAGGTTAAGAGCGGGGAAGTGAGATGGTAAGGGAAGGAAGTCAGTAGAAGGCACTTTACCAAGCAGGGTTCTTAGTGGGTGAGCTCAGTCTCACTGGGAAATCTGGGGTGCCAACACAGAATATGGGCCTCAGACTTCTCCCTCCTAAAGGCTGAGAGAGGCTGGTGACTGCTGAGGGTACTTCTGGAGTGGGGGTAATTTTCTGACACCTCTAGCCTGCGGTGGGCCACCATCTCAGGTAAAGCTGAGATGCTGGTAGTTGGAAGTCAGGCCAGAGGTTAGACCCCAGCTTCGCCTTCCTTACCCCCCTCAGCCCCGTGACCAGTCACCCTCATACCTTCATGTTCATCCCTGCCTTCTCACCCAGGACTGAGGCTGTGGCTGGGAAGAGCCTGCTGCCCTCTGATCCCTCATTCAAACAATGGCAGTCATTTGCTTCCCAGGCTAGCCAAGAAAAGCTGTTTCCTAAAGTTTCTGAAACACTGAGCAAATAAGTATTTTATTTTAGCTTAAGTAATTTAGCTTGGGACTAGAAGTAATAGACTTTGGAGACAGGCTGAGAGTCTGCCGCCCACTACATCATTGTTCCAATGTAAGCATGCTTTCGGAGATCTTCAAACATTAGCACAAAGTTTTGGAGCAGAATCTCTTTGTGAGTTGGATGTGGTCTTGGTTCTGCCTGTGCTCTGGGGTGAGTGTGTCTAGGATGTCCTCTTTATTATTACAGTGGCCCTTTGGTTGTCTGTATTTGGACATGTGGGGTAGACCACATGATAAAGTGCTTTGGAATTTTAAGCATCTGTTTCAAGATTTTCTGGGGGAGGAGGGCACCTGCTCTTTGCCATCTATTCAGAGGAGCCATCTTGCCATCCCAACGTGTTCAACATTCTTGGAGTCTTCTGGAATGGGCCAAGCTTCTCATTAATTTGGGTCATGCGATTGCTGAACAACAGTGATTTACTGTGGATGTGTGTGTTCTCGCCTCGACAGAAGGACAGGTGCAACCGAGCTGTTGGGTTGATTTACTTGGCTCTTTCTTGGTATTGTCCAGAGGGCAGACCCCATAGAGAACGTCCATATAACCTCAACCAGCAGACTGAAGGTGAACAGTGTGCAAAAAGCACCAAAAAATTATGCGGCGGATGCCGCAAAGTCAAATAAATAGGAAAAAGATAGGAAATGGGGCCAAAGCAAACGCATGAGATCTCAGCCCCCTTCTCATTTTCCTTCCAGGCCCTGGAAGTTCGGATACCTGAACAAAGCCAAAGAGGACCCAAGCCACAGTCAGATCTGACTGCAGAACCTCAGACCGAATGAGAGAGTGCACCCGCCTAGGAAGTCTGTTTCCCTCCTCGCTCCTGTTCATTTAGATGTAATTCTTAGTCACTCTTGTGAGATAATTTTAAAAATAGAAGCTCTGCAATGCATTGGCAGGCTACTTGTTGACAAGCTAAAACTGTTAGACGCTTGATTGTTCCAACGAGGATGAGAAAACCAACAGAGGTTTCTAGCCTGCGTGGGGAAGGCAATCTTCTTCACATATTCCTCTTCCTGTAATCACTCTTGCTCACTGATTCCAAGATTTGATGGGGGAAATTCATGTTTAGAGCATGAGGGAGCATTCTGGTATGCTCCAGAATGTTCTATAACAGGGGTCGGCAAACTTTTCTATAAAGGGCCAGATAGTAAATATTTTGGGTTTTACAGGCCAGATTGTCTCTGTGTCAACTATTCGATTCTGCCGGCCTGCTGGAAATGTAGACAAAAGACAATACATCAACAAACCGGCACATCTGGGATCCACTAAGACTTTATTTGCAAAAATAGGTGGTGGGTCAAATTTAGGTTGCCTGAAGTTTGCCCGAAGTTTGCCCGCCCCTCCTTTCCGTCTTGAACTGAACGACAGTTTCCTAAGTCCACGTATATGGAACATTTCATCAAGCTATGTTACACTTAAGATTTTGCACATTCATATGAATGTTATGCCTCTATTTTTAAAAATCAGATTCAATTTTCCTTTTTAGTAGGCATCCTGCCACAGATTCTCTGGTGAATTCTTTTAAAGGGGCCTCTGCAGTGGATAGGATACTGATTCAGCAACTCGTAACAGGAATGTCCAGCAGTAGCAGGCTGGGCTTTACTCCTCTCTCCTTATGGGTGCGCTGCACCCCAGGAGATCCAGCCTCCTTCTCCCAGGGGGCTCTGCTCCCTCAGTCGGTTATGTGTGCCCGCATGGAAGAGGGAAAGCGTGGGGCACGGCCTTTCTCTTTGAAGGCACATCCTTTCTTCTCTTGTTCCACTGGCCAGAATTTAGCCACCTGGCCGTATCTAGCTCTAAAGAAATCTGGGTTCTTAGCCTTTATTCCAGGTGGCCACGGTTCAAATAGACTGGGCATTC